TGCTACATCAATTTTAAGGCTTCTAGGAGATACCAATTTTATTTTATGGATAAATTACATTTTGCTGCTTCACATTAAGGTAATGACTTGCTCCGAACAGTTTCTGTTCTTTCCTCTGAAGTGGGTTTTCTGCACATCAAAGCCCACGTCACACTGCAGTGTGCTAAACCCTCCATGATCATGGTGTGAACACAGTGCTAAGGAAGTAGAGGGAAAGGAGACTAGAAAGAGTCTTTACAGAGGACAGAACAAAAACTGGCCCTTGGAGGATTAATAGAGATGCTTGGCAGAGAGAGTACAAAGTGATCTCAAGAAACAGTGAATATTCTGGTGTTGAAAAATCATACTTACAGGGTTTGGGGAACTATTAATATTAGAAAATGTCAACAAAGTTGGTAACATTTGAGCAATGTATCATTGAAGATGTCCAGTTTGATCTTGTATATAGTAAAGAAAGTGAGGGCTTCAAATGGTTCTTATCACTAGTAAATTTAGTACTGCTAAATTATTTATACAACTGTTCCCTGGGCAGGGAGGTCTGGGGTCTTCAGAGAAGGAGAGAATTGGACTGGGAAATGTACCTTCAACTAGTGTGAGAAAAGAGTTGGTTATTTCTGATTCTTAGGGAATCGAGGTAAAACAGTAAGGGCTTATGAGAGACCAAACAAGAGGGAGGCGACTTCTTTGCACCAGCAGAAAGGGCAAAGAAGAAAGGACAATTCTCCCTTTAAAAAAGAAAAATTAGGAAAATCAGAAGTTTAAAAGTCCATGAATAATTCTTGATAGAATGGGAAATAATAATCTTTTAAAACTGAGTGATATTTATACTGAAATAAATTATGATTATAAATGTTGTGTTTCTTTCTCTAAAAGACCATTTGGAGGAAATGAGATAAACATGTATTTGTATTTCTGTTTTTTCTCTTTCATTTAGTCATCAAATATTTATTGATTTTCTGGCTTTGTACATAGTTTTATTCACTCTGGTTTTTTCCATTCATTCTGGGCAGACAACCAAAACATGTATAATAAGAATTTACGCCTGTAAATGTAATTTCCACATGTCATAGTGCTAACTATACTACTCAATTTATCATGTCATAAAGAATCTTACTCCATGAGTTTTGTCTAATTTGGAAAACCTTTTATTTTTTATTTTTTGTTTTCTTTTTATTGTTGTTCATTTACAGTTGTCCTCATTTTCTTCCCATTATAAGTTTGATTTGCAGTCATTCATAGCACTACATTCATGTTCTGTCAAATAGGGATGATGTAATATCACTTTTGAGGGAAGGCACCAGATTGAAATATTATTTTCTTTGAGTTTTCATTGATTCTTGCCTTTTGGTAAAGAGAACATTTTATTTGTTCCAGATTAGTGGACTGATAGTAGAAAACAATATTCCCAGAAAATTGTTTCTTCTATTAATTACCAGACTGTGAACCTTGAACAATCCTAAGCAGCAGGATGATTTTTATCTGCTTTATTCACTGATATGTCCAACCACTAAAACACTGCCTTTATAAGTATTTAATAAATATTCGTTAAGTGAACTAATCCCTGGGATACATTTTAATCAATAAGTGCAACTTTTAAAATTCTCCCTATTAACCTTTGATCTGAACAAAGTATAATTGTTAGAGTATTTTTTTTTTCTTTAACTGGGGTTTCCTTTTTTCTCTAGAAAGCATGGAAATAAGTTTCTGCAGCTCCGCAGTAAAGGTAGTTTGTGCCTCAGGAGCACATGCTTATGACCCCACCCCCCAAACCACCCCCACATACTTCAAACACTTAATAGATATTTACAGAATGTTAATATTTATACCTAAAGGTAATCCTGGGAATAATCGACACAGAATCATAGGGTTTTATTTAGTTCATTTTTCTAAGGAACTTTAAAGATCATCTAGTCCAACTCCCTCATTTGAAGGCTGAGAAAACTCCAGCCCTGAAAGGTTATTTTCTCAGGGCTCATCTGCTAACTAATTAGTGGTGGTGCAAAAGCTACAATCCAGACCTTTGACTCCCAGTCAAATGATTTTTGCACACACAGTATAAGTAACTTTTTCAAGGGGAAGGTTTTTCCAGTTAAAATATCCATTCATCTCATGACAACTTTATGCAAATTATTTTGATGCCCGAACTATTAAAAAAGTTTTTTATCCCAAATATGATGAACATGTTCTTCCGAGGTTTTTAAAGCAGAGAGGACTCACATGTCTGTCAGTAGATGTACTTTATATTATTAGTAGGCAAGCTCTTAGATTCATATTTTACCATAAATAATTTAAATTTGTTTCAATATCTTATATTACATTTGAAAGCAAATTGACTTCTGAATAGTGAAGTACAAGTATTTGTGTAGAACACTCTCAGTTGCCAGTATGCAAACTCTTGGGTTCTGTTGCTGTGTCTATAACTCAGCAAGTAGGCAGTTGAGAACCTAAGTGGTTAACTAGATAGCTACATGTTAGGATCAGTCTGCATGTTAAAAGCTTATATTATAACAGCACTAACTTAATATTAAAAATGTTTTACCTATAGCAATCTTTATATTTTAGGTAAAAGTAGTAGATTTTTAAACCTAGATTAACTAGGTTTTTGTCATTTTTTGCTTTAATTATATATAATCAATGGGAATTAATAAGTGGTTTTCCTTCTTTTTTCTCTGCCAAAAGAAAAAAATAAACCAAAAATTTGAAACATCTTGGAAAGCACACAGAGGAAATAACTAACGAGAGAGTCTATCTGTCTCGTAATCTTACTCTGGCAGGACCTGCAGGGTCCCAGCTACCAGGGGAACGCCTGTTCCTCTCAGCAGTCCCTCCACGGGTCTCACAGTCAGATGGGCGAGCACCACAGTCCCATCACCGTACGCTCACTCCCAATGCCACAGATACCGACAGATCTCTTTTTCACATAGTTCATTAAACTAACACCATAGCATCATTTTACAATCAGAGGAACGTGAAAATCTCAAATGCTCTATTTCAAATAAACCACTTAAAATAAAATTTTTCAATAATTAACTCAGCATTTGGCATTTGGTAATATTTTTAATAATTTTTACTTCATATTTCATTTCAAAGTGAATTTATTATAGATAAGAATTATTAGTAAGCCATTTTTATTTCTCCGTGTTTCAAAAACTAAATAGAAATTATACATTGGATTCGTGAGTATGTCATATAACTTCTCTTTGTGAAGGAAAAACAACCATTCTAAAATTTCAATAACACTATATTCAATTATTAAAATTTTAAAATAAGTCCAGAAGTTGAGAAAACAGTTTCATAAATGAAATTGGTATTAGGAAAATAGCAGAGGGAGTATGAATATTGGAATACATTTCTTAATAATTGGCAATATACTTAACTAATCCAGAAATGTAGAGTTTCAGAAATGATAAAGGAGAGACAACTTTGATCAGATATGAGTAAACTAGGCATTTTTTAAATGTTAAGCTTGGAAAATCCACTTACACTTTATCAGATGATCCTGAAAAATCCACCCTTTCTGTTTATTTAAAATGGTTTCCTGGGAATACATTAATATGTAAGACCACAATGAGCAAAAGCCAAATTGTTCTCTTAATTCTAAAGTTCCTCTTATTGGTTTGTCAAGACCAAGATATTATAGTAAAATAATTGGGCACTCAATGCAATATACAGATCATGTACCATAGAAATGTACTTGAAACCTGTGTGATCTTACTAACCAATATCACCCCAATAAATTTTTTAAAAGTAAGAAAAAGAAAAATTCTCTGCAGCATAAATATTTTAGGATTTTATTTTTCAGATGCTACTTTTAAAATAACCCTGGGAAATATATGTAGCCATGAACTACAGGCCTAATATCTAAAAATGTTTTTAGAAAATACATTTAAATGTGGAATTTAATTATATAAAGTACTATAGTTCTATATTGCTGAAGCCTTTGTTAAATTGATTCTTATTTATATTAATCCATTCTTAATATTTTACTTTATAATAGTCAATACTTTAGAGTTTATAATTTGCTTATATTCCATGTAAGGAATAATCTTACATTTAAAAACATTATACATTTTGATGTGATTAAACAAAATTATATTTTTTCTACTTTTCATAGAAAATAAAAAATGGAATTTTTAATAATTTTAGGAATAACTTCAAATATTTCAGTGACCAAGTCTGATTGATCAAACATGTTCTCCTTCCACCCAACACTGGAGAGTCACCAAAAAGATACTTTCAGGGAGTTTTCCAGACAGTTCTTTGACTGACAGTCAGCGTGTCTCAGCAAGTTCTGATTCATCTTACAAAATAAATTGAATAGAGTTTTAATGTAAGACTACTTTTTCACAAAAATATACACCTCACAATCTGCTAGGCTCAACATATATGAAGAAATTCCTACTTTAAAGTTTATAATCAATTTTGAATCATAACTAACCATTGATTAAGTAAAGCCAAAGCTTTTTTAAACACAGTGACTCTTGGGAAGAAATATCTTTACCATTTTAAATAGAGCTACAAAAGAAAAAGTCAAGAAATTTGGCAACTTTAAAATTATTTAAGGAAACTGATAACCATACTGGATTATTCAGTCGAAAGTATATACCTGGAACCCAATCTGTATAATGAGGTTGCCAGTACGCCTCTTCCAGAAGTCTTTACTGAGATTCAAAACTCTTTCTTAGTTTGTTTTGCCAATTAGATATCATTATCTTAATAATAATTCACATTTTAAAAATTTTAGTTACTTTAGTCATTTTTGGTATTTTTACAAATTTCTTGGAAAGTTTTGCAGATATTCTACAAAAAATAAAATACAGTGGTAATTTTTCTTAAAAGCATTTATTCTACTGAAAACAATCACATATGGAAGTAAATTGATTTATGTTTTGTATAGTTCTAAAATTTTTTAAACAGTTTATTTTCAGATCTGTATTTTACATTGTGCTGTTTTTTTCTTTTGGTTTGGTTTGGTTTATTTGTTTGTTTTATTTTAATAGCCTTTTATGTCACCTCGGTACCCTGGAGGTCCAAGGCCCCCACTGAGGATACCTAACCAGGTAAGATTTATGTGCTACCTAAGTTTTTTGTTTGTTGTTTGTTTGTTTGTTTGAAGAATCAATAAAGAAATAGAAAATGTCATAAATACTTTTTACCTGTAGCAATATTCAAGTATCCGTTCTCTATCCCATTGAGTGCTCCTTCTAGTAGTATATAATCTACTTCAAGGGCTGTCCTACTACAGTCCATAGGTTGGATGACTGTTTCTGTAAATAAAGTTTTATGGGAACACAGCCACACTTAATTCATTTGTGTATTTTCTATGGCGTCTTTTACACTGCAAAGGAAGCTAGAGGAGTCATGATAAAAGCTATACATGTCCTGCAACCCTAAAATATTTGCTATATAGATCTTTACAGGAAAAAGGTTGACTGAACCTCAGAATCTACCATTTACTTTGAACCTAACTTTTAAATGTGTACAGTTTTCCTAAACACTGATTATATTCTCATTTAAAAGATGGCAATAAAATTTTCTATGAACATACTCTGGTTTATTTTTAAATATATTTTCATTATTATGGCTGTAACATTTATACCAATTTTCTCCAATTATATTGACATACCAGACATAAAATTAGCTGCTTCTTGAGGGGTTAGAGCTATTAATAACTAATTAACAATAGGTCCATTAACTTTTTTACTTACAAGAGCTCTGAGATTTTATAAACATTTGCCCTTGAATAGTTTTTTATCGACATGATAAATATTTATTTGTTAAAGTGAATAAAACACAATTTTTACTTGCAAGGGGTTTATAGTTTAATTTTAGGATGCAGATAACAAAAAGAAATTAAATGCTTAGCTGTATGGAATAGTTATGTTAAAATAATTGTTTTGTCACTTTCTCTAAATCTGCTATTTGTATACCTCAGCATTTTCCCAGATTCAAAGTAAACCCATTATCACAATAAATTCTTTTTTTCAGCCTTATTCTCTATTTTCACTTTTTTCCTGACCAAAAATAGAAGAAAGTTGCACTGCCTAACACATTTTATAGCAACAGAATCTGTTTCTTCTCTCTCAACTCTTACTGAAATTATGCAGTGTTCTTGAAATGTCCCATTTTGCTGGTGTTGTCTGTTTGTAGTGCACGCTAAGGGTGCCAGCACCCACACTCACCCCCAGGGACAACTGGAAGCAGGAAGCCGGCCTGGAAGTCCCCACATTAGCAGCTGGAGGGTCCTGTCCTTCAGAATCTGCATTCAGAACATAGGGCCATGGGAACAGGGCATGAAATAGGAAAAGGACGTGCACAGGTGCCAAGTGTTCAAACATACGGGAATTTTATTTTCTCTGTGGTTGAACCTCTGTATGTTGACAGTCAGGTGTACTTACATAGGTGCCTGAGTCTTCTAAGTTTCTTTTCAAAGCACAAAAAGTTGCATATTTTATTAAAATATTCACCGTATTTCAGACATCCCATTCATGACTTTGTATGTGACATACACCTAAGAGGTTCCTGAAAACCTGAATTAAATGTGAATTTCTTGCACAAGTATATTATTAGAATTTTTGACTTTATTTATTCCATATCATGATAAAAATCTTACAGAATGGAGTTGTATCCATTTGGTGTTGAAATGCCTGTTGTGTATAAGACACTGTGAGAGGCTCCAAACCTGTACAGACTGACAAAGGAAAGCACTTCTAGGAAGAGGAGTGTGTTGGAGTGGGGATGTGGACTTATAAATCTAGACTTTTTTTAAAGAACAAGTTTATAATTCATGTGAGTTTGCAAAAGAGGCAATTAAAAAGTTAAAGGCAATGAAGGGTTACAATACAGGCTCTTTCTCCTCCAGAATTTCAAACAGTCTTTGCCTAAAAGTATTTTAAAACCACTGTACTCCTCTGTGAGTGGCTCTTTTTTACCTACCCACCCCCACAACAGATACATAAACTTCATTAGTTCAACCATCTATCAACCATCTAACCAACTTTCAAATTATAATTATTTACACTTATACTATGTTTAAGAATAATTTTCTATGCAAATTAATTCTACAAACATGTAGTTTTAGAAAATGTTTACCATTTAGGAGCAGGGCCCTTTAAAGCAACAACATGGTGCCCCAGTTTCATTAAAGGAGAGTCGGCAGAACTGTTTTTGGTGATTAACTCAAATTTGATGAACACAAAAACAAATGTATCAAATATTTCTAATTTGATCTTTATAGTAGTCATAAAGTAATGAAATTTGGTTTTATCATTAGATTATATCTAAGAGAGTAAAAAGTGAAATATTAACCTCTTCAACTGTATTGACTAATCATTTTAAATATGTAAATAGACATTCCTTTAATAAACATATCCTTCAGAATTTATAATTACTGATGATTAGACTATAGATTTTAATATAAGTTCTCTTGAGATGGTTGTTATGGTTCTGAACTAAATTCACAATGGTTTGTATTTATGCTGTTTATATATTCATAGGACTGCATTTAGAATATGGTATAAGATCACTATGCCAAAAAATATATGAAGGAGTAATAGTCTCCAAAATGACTAAAAGAAAGTCAAATTATAAAATTATACAAGTTGGCAAAGAATAAGTATATATGAGAAAACACATGAAACATACATTAAGTCCAAAAAACATTTTTTACTACATAATTTTACACTGGAATTGGTTCAGCTATCAGAATGGGCTACTGGTGTTGAAGTGTCTATAACCTCAAGTACAGCAGGTCCATATCCTTCTCACAGATAAGATGTCTAATCAGAAAAATTCACAATATTCATTAAACAGTCTGATGAGGAAAACCACAGAAGCCAGAAATAGACTGTTCATGAGTGGATCCAAAATAAACTATTGATTTATCAATCCTATAGAATTTTTTTATTTTTTATTAAGTTATTTTTCAAGTACAGTTTTCTATTTCTCCCATCCCAGCCCATCCCATCCCGTGCTCCCCACCTCCCTCCCATTTCCACCCCCCTTAGTTATCGTCCCTGTGTCCTTTATACTTGTTCCTCTAAATCCCTCCCCTTTCTCCGCTTAAATTCCCTCCCCTCTCCCCTCTGGTCGCCATCCCCGTTTTCTATTTCAGTGTCTTTGTTTTTATTTTGCTTGCTTGTTTGTTTTGTTGTTTAGCTTCCTGTTAAAGGTGAGATCATATGGTATTTGTCTTTCAACACTTGGCTTATTTCACTCAGCAAAATGCTTTCCAGTTCCATCCGTGCTGTTGCAAAGGGTAGGAGCTCCTTCTTTCTCTCTGCTGCATAGAATTCCATTGTGTATATGTACCATAATTTTTTGATCCAATCCTATAGAATTTTGAGAATTTATACTCTATTTATGATCATTCCTGAAACTCTGTCAAGAGGTATATGAATCGAAGTAACACATAGTTAATGCCATTAACCACTTTATATTCTAAAACTGATTTGGGTATTCTAAAAGCACATCACATCAAGCTATTTTACTAAAATAGCTATTTTATATCAAGCTATTTTACAGTGTCTAGTATTTGTCTAATAGTAGATAAGTGGTTAAGTAAATTATAGTATATCTAAATGGTGAAATAACATGCAGCTATTATAAAAGCCATGCTATACAATTAAATTTATAGATATGAGAAAATGTTAATTATTTAGTATCAAATGTGGAAAAGATGGCACAAGTTGTGTATAGTACATCACCTTTGCTGTGTCACTGTGCGTATTCAGTGAATCCCCCACTCATGTGCCCCTCTCCAGATACATACATTTGTCACAAAAGACTCTAAAGATCAGATCCTTTATTTCTAGGTGGTAGGACTATGAGTGATTTTTTTCTATATTTTTAAAGTCTGCACTGAGCAGGTAATAATTTGTAATTAGAAAAAAGATACTAGTTCTGGTTATTCAATATATGATTATCCTTGATTAATATTGAGTGTATAGTTTTTACATGATAAAAGGAAAAGCATAATGGATGCTGAGGATAGGCCAATCTTAAAAACACTTCACTTCATTACTTTGTTCAGATAGGGAACAAATCAGCATTTGAGCAGGAAAAAAAGTTGTCAGGACACTTACTTACATACTTAAATGAATTTTACCATATGCCCTTATAACCAAGATATTTTAAACAAACTATATACTACTCTTTGTCACATGTTCTCTTATAAAGGATGAATGATATCTAGCATGTCCTTTACCAATAATTCTCTGACTATGGAAAATTTTTTGCATGTAGAATATGACTTTAATTAATGATACCAGAAAACAGATCTTCAGCTGCATAAAGAGAAATATGTTCAACATTGAGTAAATAGTAGGACTCTTACAGCTAAAATTGTGAGGATAACAGCTATAACAAATGTCTAACTTTAAAAATTAAATATGTTGCATGTGTTTAATATAAGTTAGGGATTAATGATGAAAACATAAAGTAGCTTTCCTTGCCAGTCAAAAATATTTCTTTCTGTCCATTGGGACCTCCTTATTTATTTGTTTCTTAGTAATAATTACACTATTAATGTATTTAAATTATGTGAAATCTAACAAAACAATTAAAATTATTATTTCTTTATGAATTTGAATTATATGTATATCCTGGCATATATGTATTTCCAATTATTTTCTACCATTGTAGGACAAAGAAAATTAACAAATTCATTGTCTAACAAAAAAATTCATTCTCCTTCCCAAACTAATAAAAGTTTACATAGTTAAGGCCCTGGCTGGTGTAGCTCAGTAGATTGAGCACAGGCCTGCGAACCAAAGGATCACAGTTTGATTCCCAGTCAGGGCACATGCCTGGGTTGCGGGCCAGTTCCCAGCAGGGGATGCATGAGATACAACCATACATTGATGTTTCTCTCCCTCTCTCCTTCCCTTCCCCTCTAAACATAAATAAATAAAATCTAAAAAAGAAAGTTTACATAGTTAATACGATGCGGTCTTACTTGATTTAAGTTATAGTTATATAGAGCTTTTAGGTACAGTGTTTACCACCTTCACCCAAACATATCTAATTATTTTGAAGCTGTTTTGTCAAGAATATACCCTGT